TTCTGTCATGGAACTAGTAAGAGATACTTGCACCCAGAACCAAGTCAGGTCAGGTCTATAGGGAGGTCACCTGGCCAAGCATGTAGTTTGATTCAGCATATTCAAGATTACAATAGTCTCTGCCTAATAGTAAGACTATTTGAAACTCTTGCCTGTGGCTAGCGTGGATCTGCCAGTGGCTCAGTCTGACCAGATACTCTGCAGATGGGTTTTCAGCTCCAATAGTCCTCCATAGCCTTCTGCAAATTAGGTGTTCATAATTTTAGCTCTGAACTAAAATTTTACTTTTACGTTTTAAAAGTAAAGGGTGCTTTTTCCTTTTTTCTTATTCATATTCAAATTTTGTACTTGTCATCTTTGGAACACACAAGCTGGTGTGCTTCTTCCATGTGGACTTAGTTGACTCCTTGCTTAGATGGCTGCTTGTTTGAATACAAACCTTTAATACCCCAGACACTATTCTGATTGATAGCTGGGCACTATCTGCTTTCTTCACCACACTTTGCTGTAGCATGTATCGAGCAGAGCCATGTTACCAGAACTAACTGCTCCTGAATTGGGGTAAGAGTTACGTAGGAGCTCAGACTCCTTCTGCTTGTCAATGGGGTTTGCACGTCTCAGTCTCAGATTTACTCGCATAATATGACAAAATCACAGCCCTAACATAGTAACTGCATCAGTAGCAGCCGTAAGCCAATCAACAACCAAATTAACAAAACACATATGCACCTAAAGAGAAAAGAAAAAACAACAACAAAAAAGCAAGCTACAAGCAGGAAAGCAAACACCCATACAAACACAGAAGTACAGTACCTACCTATACTGTACCACCCCCCTTGGGTATAAGTGGAAGGCATATTATCATCATAGATTTTCCCACTGACACAGCACTTCAGACACTGTCGGTATGAGGAGTCTATGCAACTGCAGTTCCACCTTGACCGCAACCCACATGCTTGTGTCCTACACAGCTCTGCCTTTCACTCAGTTGGGCTCTGTTGAGGGACTGATGCCAGTAGGGCCCTTCCTGGGTCACTTCTTCCAAGTGCAGATCCCTCTTTGTCGGGTCCTGGGTGTCTTCTACTGATGAATTGTCCATGTGGACTAGGTCTGCACTTGCATCCCAATGGAATCTTACTTGGTCATGATGCATTTTCAAAATATATGTATTTTGTTGGATACTACTGGCTACAGTTTTGTTGAAAATTTCAGCACTATGTTGATAAAGCGACATTGGCCTATCATTTTTCTTTTCACTGATGTTTCAGCTTAATTTTGGTATCAGGGCTATGCCCATTTCATAAAATGAATTAGAACATTTTCCATCTTTTTCTATACTCTGGGATAGTTTTTGTAGAATTGGTGTCAGCTCTTCTTTGAAAGTTACAGAGAATTTACCAGAGAAGCTATATGGGCCTAGATTTGACTTTTGTCAAGAGTTTTTCAATGATATGACCAATTTTTATTTTGCTATGGGTTTGTTC